AATCTTATGATTATTGATGATAAAATTTGTATTTCACACAAAAAACGCTGTCAATTAAAAAGTATTAACCAGCACCATCAGATCCAATCTTTTGATTTGTCAATGAAAAATTGGAAAATTTTTAAAATTCCAAACCTTTCGTGCAAAAATTATATAATTTGTCTGAAAGCAATGACAAACAAATGGATTTCTCCGTAATTGAATTGTAAAGGTTACGTGGATGTAACGTTGCTTATACCTGGAACCACACGTGCACATCGATACTCGAGGCGCCGAATATATTAAAACGTCTGGCACTTGCATCGATACAGCCGGCTGTCGACTTGCGTGTACGTCGAACTGCTATTTAGTAACGAAAGAAATGTTTTCATTGACTTTTAATGTCAAAGTAGAAACGTACTTTACGGATTGTTTCAGAAGAGAAATACGACATATTGCAGTACTTTGAATTGCGTGCATCGAATGAATAACGAAAAATAAAAATTTCTTCATATTTTCTGCAATATATTATTTCACACCATATATTATATAATATATTATATTATATATTATATATATATTATATAATATATCTAGGGACGAAATATATTCAGAATGGCTCAGATATTTAACCAAAAAGAAGATATGGAATAGGTCTATTGCATTTTACCAAATCATACATTTTGAAATATTCATTAAAAAGTGTATCATTCTATAGAATGCGCTCACGGTGAACTTACAGATATTAACTATGTTATAATTAACTAAAACACACGCAACTTAAATCTAAGACGCACGCATCTCACGATGCCCCTGCGAGTTAACAATAAATACTGTAATGTTTATATTTTTTACAAAGTGAAACTACGTTTGCACGGTTAATTTTTAACTTATAATTATTGTTGAGATATACTAAATGCTAATTTATAAGTCTGTGACGTATATAATTATTTTCTACATAAATGCTAATTTATGTAGAAAATAATTATATAACAGTCAAAATTGATCGTTTTCTTAAGAATAGCTATGCAAATAAGAAATCGTTCACATTTAATTCAATAATTTTCGATGTAGATGTAACATTATTCCACAGACGAATAAAATGTTAATGTTAACATATACATATATTATATTTTATTATATTTTATAATATATTTTGTTATAATATAATATAGTACAATATATTTTATATATTAACAATGCATAATATATATTTTTATATACTGTCTCTTATATACTCTATAATTCTACAACTGACTCTATATGCATTTCTCTACCTATAGTGAAGTGTATTCTCACTTTTCCTAGACGTTACACGCTGTAAAATTATCTTCGAGGAAAAAACGAAGTCACGTTTGTTGAAGCAAAGACTCCGCGCTTTGAAATGAAACTAAGTGGATTGTTACAGGTATCTTTTTCTACGAAGTTATACCAGCTTGATTTATCCACAATTTTTCATTGTCATTGGTGCAATTACGTTCTTCCCTGTACTTCTCTGTAATAACTTCATAACTTCACATACCCTATACGTACCCTCTTTTACCTCTCCTTATATAATAGACTATAATGTTCTAATATTTCCTCAAGAATTATCTCCAAGAAAGTATCTCCAAGAATTGTTTACATAGTAATAAACTTAAAAATCACAAACAAATATTCCTCGTTATTGCGTAAACTTGCAAATGAATCGATTGACATTTAAAGTTCAATTGATCAACAAAAATTTGCACATATCTCGTTTCTCTTTAAACAAACCACCAATCTAAATATTTTCCAAATACTCTTTCAACGGACCTTCATTTTACATACGATAAACTTCCAAATTTTCATTTATTTATGAACATTAATTGAATATTAATTTCAATATTAATTGAACTTTCAAAATTCAGCACGATACTAAAATTTTTTACTGTTTCTGAATTTCAGTACTCTAAATCTTTTTTTACAATTCCAATGTCTCTTAATCTCCCCAATTCTGTCGTGCCCTTCATTCTCCACGGAAATTCAAATTTCCACGAATTTTTCCACCTTTCCCGCTGCATCAATTCGAGAGACTGGGACGAAATCCTTCAAACGAGACAGAGGACGCGACGCTTTCGCGCGGGATCGCGTTTAAACTCCAAAATTAATTAGGTTAATTTCCTCCGTTCCTTTCCGTCCTAATCCATCATCCCCCTCCCCTTTTTTGAGCTCCGGCGTTCGACAATAGAGAAAGAAGAAGAATCCAGTTCCGCGGAGTTACATTCCATTCGAGATTTTCAAATTGCCGGATTATCTGGATGGGAAAGTAGCTGGCGTGGCAGGTATCCGGGCCGCTTAGCGTTCGCTTGCGGTTTTAAGCTCGATTATGTCGACGCCTCCGCCGTGACGCTCTCTCTTTTTTTAAATAAAGAGGGAGAGGAATCACGTTCCACCGGGAAACGAATGACTGAGATTCCATCATGGAAACCATGGGTCCCTCGTAGCGATATTTTATTCACCGCTGGAAGAAATATCGCCGGGGAGGCAGCGAGATGAGCTCGTTGCGCGTTCCAAATGGACATTCCTCGTAATCACGCGATCGAGTCGTTTGGAAATTATTTTTCTCTCTTTTTTTTTACGTAATGATTTTTTTTCTTTTTTTTATGTTGCACACACAGGTGGCAGTTGAGTTGCATAGAGTAGGCTTCGTTCGGTGTAGGCTGTGATTTGAATCCATGTAGCTTTATGAATAATCGATGAATAACCGTGTTTCTGTGCGGTTCTAAGAATAGAAATAAGTGGATACTTCCAATCGAGTTGTAGCAGTGTTTGTTATTAACCGGTACTGTTGCAAATAGCTCCTATGCAGTGATAGTAACTATTGTTTTTAATTAGTATTTTTATCACGTTCAAGTTGATAGATATGACTAATATTTAATTTTATTAATTATTTAATTTTATCTACCGATAGTTCCCGATGAGTTAAAGTTTCAATTTCCATAAATATTGAGTTGACTAAAAACTTTTTAATAGATAATATATACATGTCTTGAAATGTAATTAACTTCGTCTTAAACAGCAAATTCATCGTGTATTTAACAGTTAGCTGTTCGAGCTTGTTTTAGAAAAAGAAAATGCACGATTTCGTTAACAATTGTTTTCCGTCTGGCATCGATTTCGAAATGAAGGAACATTCCACAACGTATTCTGAAAGAAGCAGAAGATACTGTGTGCAAACTCAAAAAACCATAAAAAATAAATAGTATTATAAAAAACGAAAGATACGCGTAGATTGTCAATAATATTTTACAACCGTGACTCGTCGTATATATTCCTTCGCAATAGAATTTCTCGTAAAAGTCTCGACTGTTCGTTCCACTTAACGCCGCTTACGTAATTTTCAACGATCCGACAAATCGGCTAATAAAAAACCGATTGAAAATCGGTTAAAAAGAAGTTGCATGCACAAGTACTCGGTGCAACAATCGACTAACTGAAACGTCTCCGTAACAGGCGTGAGATAATGCAGCCGATGGAGAAACGATTTCACGTAAGAACACCTCACGAGAGACAAAAAAAGAAAAAAAAGAAAAGAAAAGAAAAAAAGAAACCGGAACGCTTTCACGGGGCCAACGTTCTCAAGTGCCGTTATGTCACTCGATTGCGAGTCGATCGATAGGATCTTGACGCTCGAACGTTTCGTTCCAGCGATCCAGTGGAAAGCGTGAAATCGCTCGTGCGGCACGATTTCGCGATTTGTCCAGTTCATCGATCGACTGCTCCTCGACTCTTTAATGCGTCCGCTCGAAAGACAAATGCGTCAACGAAGACAAATTCGCCGTTCAGTAGTAGCGATACGCGCCGATGGGATAATTGAATGTAAGTTCAAGTGAAACTGAAACGCGGGCGATTTTTATTTACCTCTGGCTGTATGAAAATTTGAAAAACTATCGCTCGCAGATGTCATGTGAGAATAATGTTTTTTTTAGTGTTCTTTCAAATAAAGTATTGTATGAATCAGTAGAAATTAATAGAATGTTCATATAGTGCATGATATACGTAGTGTGTTTCATATATACTATACAAAAACTTTTTTCAATTTATTTCATAAATTAATTTTATACAATACATTGTAATTTATTATATTATGTAATTAATAAAATTTTTATAGTATTAGTTTTTTAGTAGTATCTTACATGGTATTGATACTATCTTTTCTAGTATGAATATTTTATACAGTTATACCAGTTATTTAGTGTAACAATTTTGATAATGTTGAATGTACCGAACAGTTGGAGTAATTTTTATATGAATATTAAACCCCATCAAGTCCCAATTTTTATACGTCTGTCCATTTCTTTTTAATTTACCATTATTTATAATAACATTCGAAATTTCGAAACTTGTAGACACTCTGTGAAAAAAGAAAAGAATGGAAGGCGTATCTCAATTATTAAAAACACGAATCAAATTAACTCACACGATCACAGATCGAACAAATCTAATCCAAATTCGCGCGGAGCACCTTTTCAATTGATTCACGAAATTAACACACATGGTCGCTACGAACCAAACCCTGACCAGCTTTCAATTAAATCACTTAACATACACATTAAAACGCCATTTCTGAAACCCGCCGTTTCAATCTATATACACGAAGACCACCAAGATATCGTTCACTTCCACCATACACTTGAACATCCAATTCAAAAAAAAAGCTCGAAACTAATTCAATCAATCCTGGAAAATTCTGGCTGCAAACCCCCCTTTCGTTATCCTTCTTCCCCTCTCCGCCCCTTCCTCCAACGATCGAAACCCACGATCGATTCCTGCGGTGAAGCAACGACGCCGGCAAAACCCAAATCGGCTGACGAAATCGTTGTGAAATCCGCTCGCGAATATATCCCTTCCGCTTGCGGAGAAAACTCGCGGCAGATAGAGTCGAGTGGGAGGTGCCGGATAAACAGAGGTTCTCTGCCGAACTTTGCCAACAAACCGATCGTCATTGATATCGTCGATCGTCGAGAGAGAGAGAGAGAGAGAGAGAGAGAGAGAGCATCGGAAGCATGTGGCGTGGACCGGTCGTCGCGTTGCTTCTTCTCGTCTGTTGCGTCTGTTTGCTCGAGGCTGCGAGCGTCGAGACGCGTCGAAACGTTCGTTCAAACAAACCGGCATCGTCGGCCATTGCCACGGAAGTGGAGGATCTGCTCGGCGAAGGAAACTCGCCGGGGAAACAGCAAGAGACGGCCAAAAAGGACGCGAGGAACATGTCCGGTATGTTGCTTCGTATCGAATTTTTTCGGTGAAACTCGGTGCTGGAATTTTTGAGGAACGTAGCTTGAAAATTGTACACGTAGCAGAGTAACTAGAAGTTCGTGAATACGACAAAGAACGTTAAATTTCGTTTATATGTTGCGAACGATATTGTTCAAATTTCTAAAGATTAAGATCCTCCTAAGAAGGGCACGAAAAACGCGTGTCCGGTATTATGTTGTTCTCTATGGAACGTTCAAATTTGGCAAAGTTTAGTAGTGGCAATACTAACGGGGGAAGTTCGAAACTTGTTTTCCAGGGAAATTAAAGTGAGAGGAATAGGAATTATAAAACGACAATGAGCGCGAACTTTTATTCACGTTTCTGAAAATTCGAAGATGCTTTGGAATATTTCTTGAAATTCTAAAAACAGAACTTTGAATATTTCCCGAAAATTTAATATACGTTAAGAAAATATAACTGCCTATAATGTTACGTTAAATATTATATAATATAGAAGTACGGTAGTTTCAAAATTTCTAATTAAATCTCACCCAGTGTGAATCACAAAAATTCCCATATCATTCTAATCGTTGACTTTAAACGGGTGACATTGTTTCACGATACAAATTTCAAAATTCTTTCCTATAACTATTTCACACCACAAAATTTTTTTTTGATAATTATTTTACAATAAAAATTTCGATGATTGCTTCACGATAGGAATTTCAAAATTTTTCTAACAATTATTTCACAACAGAAATGTCGACGATTGTTTCACGATACGAATTTCAAAATTCCTTTCAACGATCATTTTACAATACAAATATAAAAATTCATTTAACTGTACATCGACGTATAATTACGCTCAGTTCACCAACGATTCTCATTGACACGAATTTTAGAATTTTCGAAATTATACGAGAAATATGAACAATGTTATGTCCAGATGTAACAACTGCGAGAGAAATGAAACGGACATAAATAATTCCGCGATTTGTTGTGTCCATTCCCATCACATTGCCGCTATCAAATTACCAAGGAAGGAATTTGAGAAATTCGAAACGCGATAAACGGCGAGGGAGATTCGACGGAGAACGGTCTCTAAACGGCCACTCAAGTGGCCACGTGGATAAGGTGGACGATAACGAGCACAGAATAATGCCGGTGGTTTTAGGCAAATCAGACGAGGGTGGATACTACAAGGCGTACGGTGGCGACGCCGAGGGTGAGAAGGGTTACTTGACGGCAACCTACAGCAAGGGTAATCACGGTTATAAGACCCTCGACACCTTCCACAAGCAGGATGGCGACAAGTACGCATTCGAGAAGCACGTCGCCTACGGCAAAGCGCGTGCTGACAAGAAAAGTAGCCACAACGACGAGGCACGCTCTCGTTCTGGAAAAGCCGGTGATCACGAGGGCGCAGGTACAGAGAAACTATACGACGTCGAGCACGTAATTGCGTGGCAACCATAGAGCATACGGGATGAAGCGTAGTTTCTTCGCAACTAACCACGTAACTTCGGGAGAAGCTAGCTTTTAGAATTTTACTGTTTCACGCGATTTGGCCTCAGAGTGGGGAAAGGAAATTAAATATTGTTCCTCTATGATTTCTTGTTTAAAACTTAATCAATGTAATTTGGACAAAATTTTATTATCGTTTGATAGCAGAGTAATAAGTCTAGTTTTTTTTTTTTTTTATTGAGAGTAATGCATAAAAATTGTGCTATGCTGTATTATAAACTTTGGATATTTATAAATATCATTCAAATCTCTAAAAGTTTGCAAAAGATTGTAAATCTGCGAGACTACGCCGTTATAAATTGGTCATTTTGACCATTTTGGCAGTACCAGTGTTAAAAGAATTAATTAATATTCTATTTTGAAAAAAATTGTGGTACGAAACATGGGGCATGAAACTCCAATAACGTTCTTCTGAAGTTTCTTTGTTCTTATTCAAAAATTCATCGATATCGTGATTTAGAAAAGAACTGCATTGACATTTGCTACGAAAGTGGTGCACGAGATTCAAATATCGTTTCTCTGAAGATCTTTTTTGTTAAATCTTTTTTGTTAAAAATTAATCGGTACTGTAATCTGGGAGAAAATTGTATGAACGAAGCTCTGTAATTAATTTTTTATAAAAATTCACAGAAACAATATTAAAAATAAATATAAAAAAGATATGTACTTTTTTCTTTTTTTTTTTAAGAAAAATGCTTCTCTCGGTAAGAAGAATAGATTTTAGTAAATCGAAACAAATTTTATTATCTACGATAAATTCTGAACATTAAAAATGAAGAAGTATTTGAAGATTTCTGGATGGAAATTTATATCAAGAAAAAATTTGGAACTGAAAGAGAACGCATTTCATCCGAAAAACATTCGTAATTACACTCGAATACTTGCTTTAAAAATTTATTAACCATCAATCGGTATCGTAGGACTGTTTCTGCAAAAAGCTAAAGCTATTGAACGATATTCAATCGAGAAACAGACTGAAAAGGGTACAATGCAATAATAGCTCATGAGCGTGATATTTTCAATCGAGTCAGACGGAATAGCTGGCAAGCTTAAATAGAGCTCGTGGAAGTTCCTTCTTTATATCGTAAATAATTTTCGCGTGATATATCCGTGCCATTAGTCGCGCGGGATGCTCTAATGAACGTCGATCGCAAGTTTTCCCTCGTAAACTTAGTGGCTCAAGTATCGATCGCCAATAAAACTACACCATCGAGATAACGATATTAACTGAACGCATTCATGCGCTCGTTTCGTCCTAATTTTAACGACGACGCCCAGCCATTTTGCTAATTACTTCACAGAAACGCGTCATTCAATCATTTGTAATTACCAATCCTGTACATGAACTTCAATTACTCATGGCAAAACGTACTTTTTCGTAACAATTGCCTCAGTTTCGGTTCACAAGCATTTGAACGTGTATATACATCTTACCTAATTATCATTTGTTAAATTGAAAAAAGCAATTTCGTTTACGTAATTTCGTTACGCACGCTATAAATCTGTAAAAACTATGAATGATACAAAGTTTATTTATTATATAAAAATTCGCAGTCTAATGTACGATTACTTCGGACTTCCACGGACATCGATATTTTTGAGACTGTCATTAAAAAAATAGAACCTGGATAGGAAATTATTTTACCAAATGTTGTAGTAGACACTAGGCTTTAATATCCTTGAAATACTTTACATATTTTTCCACATTACGTGGAATCTCGCACTTTTAAATTTCCTACAAATGCATGAAAGTTCGTAGTCTATAGCAATCACGATTGTCGTATTTCATCATAATTTAAATTAAGGTGTTTCTTAATAATATATTCGTAATTAGTTTTGATATTCAAGTGTTTAAATATTATCCTAACTCACTGTACTTGCAATATTTACGATTTACTTAAATGAAATATAATTCTAATATATCAATAATAATAATAATAATATAATAATATCAACAATAATAATATATTAATAATTAATATTATTAATAACAGTATCAATTGTATTATAAATTTCACTAGGCACCATGGTCGATACCCATTACGCAACCTACGAGAGTGATCATCACGATGATAGCGGTGAACACCATGCTGAAGCCAACGGGAGCCATACTCACGAGGATGACTCTCACTATACGGATCATGGGCCAGGATCTTTGAATTACGAGCACGGTGGAAACTACGCAGACGGAGAGCATGGTTCTTACGGAAGCCACAGCTCCTATTCGAGAAGCTCTGGCAGCGAACACGATGACAACGACCACCATTACTATTAAATCCTTTGCCACGTGGCTAGGATTGCTGATCTTCCACGAGACGTGTTAAATGCGGTAAAAGTGCCTAATTTTGGGAATCAAAGGGTTACCAGTGGAATTCATTCGCGCAAATGACAACAATTTCGAACAATGGGACAATGAAAATAGGAAGCGATGTTTCACACAAATACCACGGTGAATTGCGAGGATTGCTCGCAAAGAGTTGAAATTAGCCAGAAACAAATCACTAGGCATTTACTTTGCAAATTGCTAGTAGATTTGTTTTCGTACGTACGGTCTGAAGTAAAAAATTGCAATGCAAGTGTACTGTTTGTTTTACGAACTTTAAATACGCGAAGAATTAATTACTCTAGAGTGTTTACGGTAAAATTGATAATAACGTAACCCTCGCGATTATATTTATGTTTGAAAATTTGCAGGAACCCGATTAAATCTTCAAAAAATAAAAAATACCGATAATTCACAATTCTCCTTTGGCAACGATTGGTACTTAAAAATCTCATATCCGGTGTATATGAAGTAATAGGAGAAAGAAAAAGTATTAAAGTTTTCACACATATACAATTATGTCTATACAATATCCAATTATATTCAATTATATCTAACAGGCCAAATTCGAGAGACTGCAACGCCAAATGTAAAACACGATATTCCATCAGCAATTATCGAAGATTTTTCAGATTCAGACGAATCGATGTGAAAAAAAAAAAAAGACACAAATTGGACGAAAAACGAACAAACGAATATAACATGGCGTGATTCGTGCGATTCAAATTCGTATTATTAATTAAGGACTGATCAATTAAACCGGACGAACTTTCATACTTCTCTGAAAAAATTTTATTCTACATCTGCGACTTATTTTTTTTTTTTTTATTTTTTTATTCGCAACAAATATCTCGTAAATTCTCTGTACATCATCAAATTATTATCAAACACTCACAATTATAAACAGTTATCTCTCTCGTTGGACTGTCAACGAAATTTCCAACTATTTTACATCGGACAAGCATAAAATTTCTCGTTACGTGCGTTCGAATACTTTCGCCGAGCCGTTGTACGTAATCATCCGATTGTTTACGACGTTATGGGAAATCGATCGATATAGTTTAATGTAATCGCGCGATCGCAGACGCCAGGCAGCTTGTTAAGGGGCGAATTTCCCGCGCGCGCGTGTCACGCTCGAACTGTCAATGCCCGCCAATTGTTACTTGGCCAGTATCCGCGGCAACCAATTATTTCAGAAATGCATCGCGCGCGCGCGCGCGCGTTCACTCGCGTTTGTCGCATAACGAACACGAACAACGTAATTTTGATGCCGGTGCAAAGGTGTTGCCGCGTTGTTATTACGAAATTTAATGATATTACGCTTGTATCGCGCTGATGAGCCGATCTAAATTGCAATTGGTCATCGTTGTCGTTCGTCGTCGCTCGTTACATTAACGTTTCTATAGCCACGCTCCATTATTGGCAGGGCAATTTGCTCGAGATCCATATCGTCGCGTTAAGTGATAAGTAATATCGATCTTCGAGGACGTTGGTCATTTGCAACATACACTTTTGCCGTGTACGGGGAAAATAAAAATGCAGTTACCAGCTCGATATGAGTCAAGCTAGGTAATTACATTAACTCTGTAACTGGCGATATACGTATGCATTTGCAAGTGACACAATTTCTGAGCGAATCTACATTTGAAACTGGCGTATATTCGACACGTTATTATCAAGGTGAGGCGCGTAATCAGTGATACGCATTTGAAAATAGACTGTTTATTGGCTCGCAATTACCATCCGTGATAATAAGTGGCATGTACTTGTCGATAACAAGTTTACGATTCTTGATTTGAACTAAGCGCTTGGAGAACTATTGTAAAACGCACGGCAAAGTGTCGTTCAACTTGGCAAGTATTTCTATTACTTTTAAACTTTTATTTGGAATTGCTTTCTACATTGATTGTAGTGAAATGTAGAGTTGCGATTTGCGATCTACGACGAGTGAAATTTTATCGAAACTAAAGAAAAACAGTTAATTTTAAGACTTCTAGACGAAAGTGTACTTCGACAGGCCATGAACTTTCTAAGAAGTTTGTTTGAACTAATTTTGATACACTCTTTGACGTAACTGTTTCAATTCACTTTATTTCTGGAAGTTCGATTTGTTGTTTAATACCGTCAGTCCTGACAATGCATTCTCGCTGAAATAACGAGCTATGAATTTCCAACTTTTATGTCTTTTTTGTTCCTTTCTTTTTTTATTCTCGGGTCAACCACGTGGTCCGTGTTAATTTGGTAAAGAGTATTTTCGTTGGCCTAGTGAAAAATAACTGGAGAGTAGACGGAAAGAATTGGCAGAAAATCAATCCTCATTGCAGGAAATGTACATATTTCAAATGGATTTGTCTGAGTCAGAGCGATGTCAATTTGCGAGGAAAAGTTAAGCCAAATATTTTCTGAAGACTGCGACAGCGATCGCATTAATTCTGGCATTCGTCAGCCTGTTCATGTACGAAGTTTTTGTTTCAACGTGATATTGGTTATTGTTTCAAGAGATAATATCGACGAGATATTTATACATGTAATGAATAATATTACAAAAAAGTGAACGACACTCGTTCATTTATTATTTTAACGATCTCTTATACATGGCTTGTGGATGTTCATGCAAATATTGCAATATTGTGATATTTTATTGAAGAAATAAAGATTGTTTTCATTCTTTCAATGTTATAACGAGTATCACACTTTTGACATTTTATATATTTTTACACATTGTTACACGTACTGTGTGCATTTTTGTATTTCGAAATTTCCAATAAATTTCTCAAGATGTAGACGATTCAACTCCACGCGGAATTGACACTTCCACAAATTTCTATAAACATTGACAAGTTCGGAGGACCAGTCCATCCGTCTTCATAAGCGATTTTTCGATAAATAACCTGGTATTTGTAAGAAATTAACGACTCGGGTGACGAGCTAGTCTCGCGAAACTTAACTTTCCTCCCCTTCCCTTTAATTAACGAGTTAAAATCGCGTTTCAGTCCTGGAGCAACTAGCAAAACACCAGGCATGCCATTAACCAAAGAAGAAGCAACGAGAGACGAGGTTTGTTAAAAAGTACGACCGGTCACGCGATGATATCGCATCGGGCCGGGTTCTTTTTCGTCGATGCGGCGGGCAAAACGTTTGACGAGGGGATCTCTCGCAGCGGATTTTGCAATTATTTATAACGAGGAAACTTTCGGAACGGCCGCAGCCTCGGTTCGCTAATTGCGCGAGATAATTATTGTTAAACGCTGCGCGCGTGACAAAGGATGATTCCACTGTCATCATCGTTGTCTACCGCCAATTCGCCGTGTGTTCGCCCAAGGACGATCCACCGTTTAACTCATCAAACTTTTCAGCCTTTTATCATACCACTCGGCCAACTGCTGCGGCGTACAAAAATGTTTCACGCTATTCCATCGAATATTCTAATTTTCATCGTATTAGCGAGAGTAATTTATTCTGAAATATATTTTAATATTATTACAATGTTATAATATTATTTATTTTTATCATCTTTAACTATCTTACTCAAATTCTTAGTAAAATCGATCAAATATTATATTTTTAATTATTACGTTTTATATTTTGTACAGCTTATTAGCAACAGCAATTTAGTCTGAGATGTACTTCATTATCGAATAGATGACTTTGTTTTGTAAAAATGTGTGTACACTTTTTCATTATTTGTTTCTTCAAATCATCAAACTTTTTTTTATTATACCACTCGGACACCTGCTGTGGCGGACAAAAATGTTTACAATATGGACATTAAAAATGATATTTTTCACCATTAGCGAGAGTAATTTACTCACAAATATATTTTATATTTATTTATTATCATTAATTATTTTGTCAAACATCATTTTTGGTAATCTATTAAATATTACATTTTTAATTATTATGTTATTATTTTTGTTACAGTTTATTAGCAACAGTAATTTATTCGTACTTCATTATTTCTGTCGAATATGATTCTGTTTCATCGATAAATATGGTACACTTTTTTATTACATATCGGGTAAACTTTCTTCCGTCCGCCTCTGTATATTCGTTTGTTAATTTTTCACCGGGGAACTTCGATGAATATTGAACGAGTTGGATTACCGGAGAAATCAATCTTCCACTGGCTTGCAAACTTAAACGATCTTCGTTCGATTATAAATTGTATCATTATTGAGGTTTAATTGCAGATTCAAGAGAGAGGAAATTCCAAGATATAATTCGTTTTTGGATGAAATAAAGGTTGATTGGTTATTAGACGATGTGCGTGTTTCGTTTGATTGAAAATGGCCGATCATGAATTAAAAATCCCAAGACGATAACGAACACTTTATAAAATGCACGATAAATACTACGTTTCTTTTATTTAATCTAATCCAATGTAAGTTAATCACTTTTTACCAAAATTACTATTAACGTCCATATTCATTATTTTCAAGAAAACAAGATACTCTGATTTAACTTTTGTTTTATATATTTCAAAGTAACAAAATTTTCCTTACAAATTCTTCGTATGCTCTAGCACTATAAGATTGAACTATATTAAAATCCAAAAAGAAAAAAAAAAAAAGAAATATTAAAATCAAGAAAGGGAACAAGTAATCCACTCACGACGAAGCTAATTAAGCCGGACAATTTTCTCTCCGTGCTGAAACTCGCCAAAGTGGACGGACGATTTCACGAAAATCGCGCGTGTGTGCATGAAATCGGATCATTCTTCCCTGGCCGATAAACAAGCCGGTAGCCCTCGAGTTCGTACTCGCTTTCAAACCGGCACGCAATCCACGTTCGAGTGCACTTAATCCGAATCACATTGCGCACCTCGGGACGGACAACTCGAACGCGTCGAATGTCAATGTTAGTTACCCTTCTTCTCATAATAGAACGGGGCTTGTAGGCGCGTCGAGTGCGCGTAAATTAGGAAACAATTTCATTAGCTGTCCAATGGACGG